AAAGATATTGAGTTTCTTCATCAGTACTTGCTACAGATGTAGTAAATCTGATTCCTGTGCACTCCATCTGGTGAAGTGTTTCAGCAACACTCTTTGTGTTGCTGAAAAAAGGTATTTGCAATGAATAAGTCATTGTCCTTGCAAAATTCTATCGTGTGATCTCCAGTGTTATTTCTATCACCAAGGCCAAGTTTTCCAACTACTGGTGATTCTTCCTTGTTTCCAACCTTTGCATTCTAATCACCAGTGATAATCAGCACATCTAGATTGCATGTTTGGTCAATATGAGACTGCAGAAGTTGGTAAAAACCTTCAATTTCCTCATTTTTGGCTTTTGTGGTTGGTGTGTAAATTTGAATAATAGTAGTATTAACTGGCTTTCCTTGTAGGCGTATGGATATTATCCTATCACTGACAGCATTGTACTTTAGGATAGATCTTGATACGTTCTTTGTGATGGTGAAGAGGAATGTCATGCCATTCCTCTTCAATTTGTCATTCCCAGCATAGTAGATCATATAATCATCTGATTCAAAATGGCCAAAACCAGTTCATTTGAGCTTATTAATGCCTAGGATATTGATCTTTATGTGTTCCATTTCTTTTTTGACAACTTCCAATTTTCCTAGATTCATACTTCATACATTCCATGTTCTAATTATTAATAGATGTTTGCAGCTGTTTCTTCACAATTTGAGTTGTGCCACATTAACAAATGAGGTCCCAAAAGCTTTACTTCCTCCATAGTATTAAGGTTGGTTCTATTCTGCTGAGGTAGCTCTTTCCCAGTCATATTTTGAGTGCTTTCTGAGATGACAAGCTCATCTTTCAGCACTGTACAGACAATGTTTCAGAGCTATTCATAAAGTTGTCCAGTAGTGTGTCAGACAATGTTCCTCTGTTATTCATAAGGTTTTAGTTGGCCAGTTCTTTGAGAAGTGGGTGGCCTCTTCCTTCTTCTGAGTCTGTCTCCATCTGGAAGCTCTGCTGAACCCTGTCCACCATGGGCAACCCTGCTGGCATTTGAAATACTGGTGGTATAGCCTCCAGCTTCACAGCAACATGCAAGCCACCACAGTAGGACAAACTGACAGACAAGTTCATCTCCATTAGCTGTTCCAAACCTCTCCACCCACTTATGGTCTTCTGCCTACCTGTTCTGGCCTTTGGCCCTGGTTTCTCCGCCTTCCTGCTTTGGGTGGGTTGTCTCCCTCCCTCCCCCTACCTGATCAGGGCCATTGACCCTGGCTTCTTCCAGTGGTTTCCTGTCCTGGTTGGGTTCTCTCCCTCCCTTTCCTTACCTGGAATGGGGCCATTGACTCTGGCTTCTTCCAGCAGCTTCCTACCTTAGGTGGCTTTTCTCCCTTCCTCCCCTTACTGGATTGTGGCCATCAGCCCTGCCTTCTTCTAGTAGTAGGAAACTTTAACACATTACTTTTGATAAAGGACAGAACAACTAGGAAAAAACTCAGCAAAGATACAGAAGATCTCAATAACATAAGCAACCAACTTTTCCTCATAGATGTATACAGAACACTTCACCCAACAAAAATGCAATATACATTCTTTTCCAGTATACATGAATCATTCTCCAGAATAGATCATAAGTTAGGCCACAAAGCAAGTCCCAATAAGTTTAGAAATATTGAAATACCACAAAGCAAAACATCTTCTTGGGTCACAATGCCATAAAACTAGAATTCAATAATAGGAAGATCAAGGAAAAAAAATCAAACATATAGAAACTATTAACACTCTACTCAAAGATTACTGGGTTAACTGAAGAAATCAAATGTGAAACAAACAAACAAATTTCTAGAAAGAAATGAGAATGAAAACACAACATACCAAAACCTGTGGATCACAGTGAAAGCAATACTTATAGGTCAATTTATAGCAATAAATGCACACATCAAAAAAGAAGAAAGAAAGAAAATAAACACCTTAACCCAACAACTCCACCAATTAGAAAAAGAGCAACAAAAGAAGCCTGCACTCTCCAGAAGAAAGGAAATAATAATAAAAGCAGAAATAAACAAACAGAAAAATAATAGAAAAAAATCAATAAAACTAGAAGCTGGTTCTTTGAAAAGATTAATAAAATTGACAAACCACTGCCAAATTTAACTAAGGAAATGAGACAGAGAATGCAAATAACATGAATTAGAAATGAAATGGGCTACATCACAACAGAACCAACCAAAATAACAATGATAATAACAGAATACTATGAAGATCTGTACTTCAACAAAATCTAGAAGAAACAGACAGATTTCCAAAAACACACGACCTTCCTAAAATTTGACCAGGCCCATCACAAAGAAAGAAATTAAACAAGTAATAAGAAAAACTCCCAACAAAAAAAAAGTCCTGGGTTAGGACTGTTCCTGGACTTCACTGGAAACTTCTACCAAACATTCAGAGTAGAGCTGTTTTACCTACAAGAATTCAGCACAATACTGCTATGTATAAGTACCACAAAGCCTACTACTTAGTATTTGTTGAAAGAATTAATATATTTTAACATTAGATAAAAATTCTTACAGTATTTTAAGATTAAGTTTTTACATCAGAGTATTTATCCGAGGTAGATGAGTTAGTTGAAAGACCTTGACCAATTCAAGGTCAACTGGCATATTCAAACTATACCAGAATATAGAAAAGGATAGAATACTCTTAAATTCATTTTATGAAGCAAGCATAACCATTGCAGTGGTTATATTTGTGTGTCAACTTGGCTGGGCCTGGTTGAGTGGCTGGGCGGCTGAACATAGTTATTGCCCATGGTAATTAACTCTATGGTGGCATCTGTTAGAGCAGCTGAGTAGCTGCTTTGGGTATGTGGTCTGCTTCCCATACATAAGAATCAGCTTTGGGAATGGTCTCTCGCTTATGGCATGCTTGAACCCTGCATGTAGCTGTGTCATTGTTCAGTAGCAGCCTGCCATGCTCTGCTGACCTTGGGACTTACAATGGACTTGAGTTAATGACCTGCCGTGTGGTTTGACAACATTGGGACTGTGCCTTTTTACTTGTCAACCTTGGGCTTGTCAGTCTCAGCAGCCACCAGCTTTCTGAGTGAAGAAAAGCCTCTAGCTCCAGTGGGCCGGGAGCAGGAGGCAGAGCTGAGACCAGAAAAACTAGATGGTGCCCAGTTACCAATGCTAACCACTTGGAAAGTGATCAAAATTGAAGGCCCTGGATAAAGTAGGAGAAAAACGTGGAACAAAACTCAAAATCATAAAAAAGACTAGCCTTACTGGTCTGATGGAGACTGGTGAAACCCCTGAGACTATGGCCCCTAGTCATTCTTTGGGCCAGGAATTAAATTCACTCCCATGGCTTAACTTTCAGCCAAACAATAAACAGGGCTACACCAGAGAAGTGCACTGCTTCAAGCAATCAACCATGGGAGATCAAAAGGGCAGCAATGCACAAGGAGAAAGTTCAGAAGGCAGGAATACAAAGGAAAGAAGGACACAGGAAAGGTAACCACAGGGAGGAAGTGGGAAGAGAGCTGTTATATTGTGGAAATTGCAATCAATGTAATGAAACAAAATGTGTGTGAACTGTTGAATTTGCTCTGTAAACTTTCATCCAAATCAAATAAAAAGTTAAAAAAAAAAAAAAAAAAAAAGAACAGAGAGAAAGTGGGAAGAGAGCTGTTGTGTGTACATTATGGGGATTCCAGTCAATGTCATGAAACAAAATGTGTATGAACTGCTGAATGGAAAATTAATTTATTCTGTACATTTTCATCCAAACCACAATAAAAAAATTAATAACTTGGAATGTTGAACAGTATAAAACTTAAAGAACAATAAAAAAGAAAGCTTGGTATTTTTAGGGTTGGTGTCTAGGGCTTTGAGCAGGCTGCTACTGATGATGTGGTACTGTTATTTATAAGCCTGCGGCTCAATTTCAGGAAAGATTCCTGTTGTTAGGGTATCCCCACTTTCCGCCAGGCTCAGACACACACAAAGACTCCGCTTCCGAGGCCCCTTGGTGCCAAAAAGCTGATTCAAGGCAAATTCCCGGGTCCGCACTCGGCCGTGGATTCCTCTCCACCCCATCTACCCATAGCGCCAGCCCAATCTGTCCAGATGGGGAACAGCTCAGGAATTTGTCTGTGATACCGCCCATCTGCAGTGCCAAAGATGCACGTGATTTCAGCTGCACTGGGGTCAGGAGAGTGCCTGCTAGTGATCTGTGGTCCCCATATCAGTGACAAAGACAAGCACAGACCTCTTAATGCCTCCCAAGTGGACCCAAGCCCACTCAGTGACCCGCTGAGGGGAGAAAGAGCTCACCCTCCTGGAGCACCAGAGAGCTCTCCGCTTGGGTTTCAGTGGTGCTGTGAGTGCCTGTTTACACCTAGCCAACCCAAGTTATCAATGAAATCAGGTGCTGAAGGTAGATCCTTGGGGTATGTGCTGGTATGTTGGTATGGTCACTAGTATGCTGATACAGGGTGTCTTCTTCCTTGGCCCACAGAGATCTCAGGTGGCCACCGCCATCCACCAGTCAGTGACTGCCCCAGAGAAGTTTCCAATGGCTTCTCTCGGCTGCTCACCCGTCCTCCGCTGGGTAGGTCTTCCTTAAATTCTTTCCCTGTGCCTTTCCTCTAATTCTACTCTTCTATGTATGGTTCACTCTGATTCAGTGAGCTGTTCAGAGCACCACAATCCCTAATTCAAACTGCTGTACCTAGTTTTTCAAGCACTAAGATGCTAGAGGGAACTAGAGTGGTGATTACTGATGAGACTCCATTTTGAATCCATTTTGAATTTATTAAATTTATTCTATACATTTTCACCCAAATCACAATAAAAAAATTAATAACTTGGAATGTTGAACAGTATAAAAGTTAAAGAACTATAAAAAAGAAAGGATAGATGTGCTCTTTATAAACACAAAAGACCCTTTTGAAGGTGGAAGACTAATGCATATATACATATATAAAATATTTCTCTCTTGTATTAGTTTAAATCTATACTCACCTGAAAAATCTGTTTCAGACTGTGCTCAGAGGGCATTGGGAGGCACAACATGCTGAAGTGTCTCATGAAGCGAGGGGTCACAGGGTTGCGGCCACCACCTGGAGGAGCACATGCTGATACAATCGTTACATCCTGTGGGGGGAGAGGACCACTCAGATCATCCAGTAAAGAAAATTATGGGATCTTCCTATCCAATGGTGAGACTCAAAGTCAAGAATGGGCAATCTACTTCCAGAGTGATACAGCCTCGGAAACCCAAGGAGGGGCTGGTATGAGTCGGGTCAGACTCGACAGAAATGAGTTTGGTTTTGGTTTTACCAAATGCTAGCATTTGCAGTTTTTCAGATGCATTATCTGACTAAATCCTCACAACAACCCCAGGAGATTGCCATTATTATCCTTATTTTATAGCTGAAAAA